CCCCTACCGTCCTGTAGAGTGGTGATTGCCTCGCTCTCCTCGCTGTACTCGCTGTCCCCAATATCATTAGTGGCTTTCACTCTGAACTGGTAGGAAGTGAAAGGCTTGAGCCTGCGAATAGGAAAAAAGCTCAGTAGGACTGTGGCACCACCAGTTTTGTCCTCTATGACCCTCAAAGTTTAGAAAGTTCGGTACAGACTAAATTTAGGCTTACTTGTCTATGACGTATGAAGTGGCCTCATGGTTGACCGATGCTGAGTGGACGGTCCAATTGCTGTCGGGCAGCTCTCTGTACTGGACGGTGTAGTATCGGATGGGAGACAGACCATCGCTGCCTGGTTCCCATGACAACAGCACACTGCGGGCCTGGACCTCTTCCTGAGGCACAACGGGACGACTTGTGGGCTGAGGGCGTGCTGAGAGGAGATCAGACAAGCAGTTGCAATCAATGAAATGTAGTAAAAAGCACCTGAGCTTGTAAAGAGAGATGAAGCAGTACCTCTCTTCTCTGTAGTGACCACCAGTGCCTCTGCTGCTTCTCCCCATCCCTTTCGAGTCTGGGCCGTGAGGCGGAATACATAAACACTCTCTGGTTTCAGTCCAGTCGCTGTATACTGTCGTGCACTTGGGTTGAGAACATCAACGTTGGCAGAGGTAATACTAGAAGAGTTTTTCCGGAAAGCAATCTGATATGCTAGATAAGAGACACACATAAACATTTCAATCAGAGGATTCTGAATTTAATCACCATGTTTTACATGCACTGTTCTGATTGGGATTCGAACTAGTGTAAAACCGGCATGAGGGGTAGACACATTAACAAGGATGCTAAAGACTGCAGCCTCTAGTACCTAAAGACCCAAGCTACAGTACCTAGCCACATTTGCTTGTGTGCCTCTTGAGGCCAGGGAAGTTAGATCTACCTGCCCAGTGATGTCTACTAGCTGGACTTTGTAACACCTTCCTAAAACTCACTCCCATCCGGGTCACGGCACCAATATAACTTGTCCTACTTACCACATTCTGGATGGGATTTGAATTGGCACCAAAGGACCACGCTAACAAGGATGCTAAAGACCACAGGCCCTTCCGTCAATCCCTAGTGTGCCTCATGAGTGCCAAGGAAGTGAGGTTACCTGCACAACTATCTCTACAATCTAGCCTTGCACCTATCCGGGTCACGGCACCAATGAATCTGGTCCTACTCGCACCATTCCAAGCAAGATTTGAACCAGGGACAACTGGCATAGAAAGTGAGCATGCTAACAAAGACGTTAAAAAGTAAGTGTAATACAGTACAGTGGCTAGTATTAGTCTAGTTGATGTTCTGGATCACTACTAGATACTCTTGTTGCAGGGCAAGTCTTGTCACAAGTCTTTGATCATCCATTTAATGTAACACATTCATTGAAGGCTGGTTAATTGCACTAAATTGTAGATATTCTACATAACAGTCATGCTCCAATGAGATAGTCATACTTGATGGGTGGTCTGCACAGTGTGTCATGGATTTTATCATCATATGATAACATTTTTATAATTTTTATGATCATATAGTACAGTATGTCAAGTAATTAAAGAGACTATAAAAATATTTTACCAAGGATAATGCCATTTGGCTGGGCAGGGGGTTGCCAGATCAGTCTCACTGAGGAAGTCCTGACTTCAGGGAAAAGGATCCCGACTGGAGGACCAGGTACTGTTTAAAAAAATGTCAATGTAACTAGCACACCATAAGCAAGATTAATAACTTATGGTGGTTGTTAATTGTGGTTTAGACTCTCACCGTCATCAAGCGTGCGCTCAAAGATGGGCAGAGAACTAGGCATGCCATCTCCTATACGGGTGAAGGCTAGAACCTGGATCTCATAAAGCACATACTTCCCAAGACCAGTGAGCTGGATACTATAAGTGGTATTTCCCTCTACCGTCCAGAAACACAGGGCTGACTCTGCATCCTTCTCTTTGTATACCACCTGAGAGGAAAAATAGATGCATCTCTTCACTACTACAGTGGACTCAAGAACAGTAAATCTGGTAAGAGGCCTGTTGTCAATGTACCTTATAGCCCAGAATTAGTCCATTGCGGTCAGTCTCTGGTACTTCGCCCCAGCGGACCAGGACGCTGCTGGAGGTGGTAGCAAAAGCTGAGACATTTGCAGGGCCACTTGAGGGGACTAACGAATGGAGAAAACAAGTAATCAAGTAATTAACAACCATATGAGTGATCAGACTTTCAAACAGGAACAGCGTGCATTTTGTCATTTATTGTACACGTCATATGTTTACAAGATAAAGCATATGCCAATGCAGTCTGGTTA